CTTGGAAGGGGATCTATGTAGGAGATCCTGGATAGAGAGGGAGAACAATGTGGAACATAACTCAAAATCATTTGGAGAAAAAAAAAGGGGGGGGGCAGGTTTGCTGGTCTGATAGAGCCAGGTGGAACCACTGAGACTATGGCCCCCAGTTGCCCTTCAGGTCTGTAATTGAACCCATGCCTGTGGCTTCCAGCCAAACAGTAGACAGGCATATGAGTTGAGTATTTACCTGAAGTAGACGCACTTCTTGGAGAGAATAATCATGGGAGAAAGAAGGGCTGTTTATGCACAGGGAGACAGCTCAGGGGGCAGGAGTGCATTGAGGGATGGACACAGGGAAGAAATAACTATCGGGAGGAAGTATGAGGGGAGATGTTGCATTGTGGTAAATTGTGGTCAATGTCATGAGACAAAGTGTATGTGAACTGCTATACGGAAAGTGAATTTGCTCTGTAAATTTTCACCCAAATCACAATAAAAGAATTTTAAAAATTAAAAAAAAAGAAATAAATACTATAGGAATACATAAGAGATTGACCCCAAACTGGTGGTCCAGGAAGGCTTCCTAGAAAAGGTGGTACCTGATTTGCATATTGCAAACAGACACAATAAATAAATGGGCTGAGCCACTAGAGTTCTCATGGATTCCACTTGAATTAATATTTTGTAGAGTTAAACAATGATAATGAATTTCTTATTATAAAGTAACATCTAAAATTTTCTTCCTAAAATGGGCAGTAGTTAAATACTTCACCTTTTTATCCATTTTTGCAAGCATCATTACTGAAACGTGCTCAATATGATACACACACACGTTAGAAAAGGGGTTAAGAACAAAAAAACATGTTCACAGTTTATTGTTGAGGTGTTTTCTTTCACATACAATAATATAGAGAGAGCCAATGAAGAAGAAAAGCAGAAAGATGATAGAGGAGGAAGTTGGATGTTGAAGAGGAGCCAATCGTAGAAGAGGGAGGAGGAAGCAATAAAGCAGTAGCGAAAGGTGGCCCCACAAACAACGTTTTTGACTAAAGAAACGTGATGACTCACACTGCAAACATCAAGTATGCACAAAAAGAGAGATACATTTTAGAGATGGGCCATTTCCATTGTCTTGATGTTTCCTCTGGATCCAGATTCCAAAACAGTTTTCTCTAAGAAAATAATTCCAGCCTATGGATGACACAGTAAAGTCAAGTGGCGAAAGTCTTAATACATTCCTTACTTGAACTTTTTCTTCTTAATCTTATGGGGCGTATTGTCACTGCACGCGAATTAAAGGCCAGACATTCAAACTTCAGTGATAAATCCTCTTCCTTCACTTCAGCTATTCTTAAAGTCCTTTTTAGACAAGTCAGCTCATTTCTAGGACTAAGAAGCCACTTGTTACTTTTAATGGTTACTTTTCAGTTGCAAATTATGAGGGAGGGAAAGGGAATGTTTTAACTTTTAATATCAACCTGCCTTTGATTATGCACTTGCTCCTGATGAATTCTTGCTTCACCAACATCATTAGCATCGCTTCCATTAATTTGCCATTTGACTGAGGCCATGAACAGAGGGCCTTTCTCCATGCAAGCAGAGCAAGTGATGTTTGCTGTTTTTCCTAGATGAGAAGTAAACACATTCATGTTAAAATTAAATCCTTCAAATAGTATTTAATTTAACTTAATGTGAAAAGAAAAGCTGTTGAACACTTGATTCCCATTTCCTTCTTCATCTCTAGAGGCTTCATCTCTGTAAGACTTCACTTTGCCTCCTCTCCTCATTACTTCATTTCACTTGCAGGTAAGTTTGAAGCTTAGTTCCCATTCCCCTCTCAGCCTGCAAGAGAATCTAATGAGGCAGGTGACTGGCTTCAACCAACTGACATTATAGTACAGAATCTCCATTTAGTATATGTTGAATTTTTTTTTAACAGCTGTTTTCCTCACTTTTGTCTTCCTACTGAATTTTTCATCTCTCCATAAGCTACATTTGAAGGTAAAACTGTCTTCGTGATTTAAGGAAAATTTGGAAAATTCTCACAAAGCCTGGTCCAGATAACAATCCTTGTACGTAATCATCTAAACAGAGCTCTCTTCATCCCAACTCCTTTAATTTGAGACTTCTTCCTTTCAGACTTCAGAGCACAACAGCTACCTTCATGCCTTGGACCAACCCTTTCTGGCCCTTGGTTTGTGTCAGGAGCTGTGTTAAGAATTAAGTATCTAGTTAATCTTACATATGCACTTGTTCTACAAAATTAGCCACACACATTACAGAAGCAACAGAAGACAGAGTTGGAGTTAACTTCTCAGAGACAAAGAAAGATCTTGTAAGAGAGAATCACCAGGCCTGGGGGCTAGGGACCATAGTCTCAGGGACCATCATGCTCAATTGGCACACATAATTCATAAAAATTTTGTTCTACAACCTAGTTTGGAGAGTAGCGCCTGGAGTCTTAAAAGCTTTTGAGCAGCTATGTCAGATGAAACTATTGGTCTCCTCTCATCTGGAGCAAAGAAGAGTGAAGAAAATCAAAGGTATCTGGAAACAATTAGTCCAAAGATAAGGTGAACCACAAGGATCTCAGCCTTCATGATCCAAGACCAAAAGAACTAGATAGTGCCCAGCTACCAATGCCATCTGCTCAGAAAAGGATCACATCTGGAAATCCTGCATAGAGTGGGAGGAAAAATGTTGAACAAAATTCAAAAACACAAAAAATAACCAGAATTAGCAGTTGGAAAGAGACTGGTGGAACTCCAAAGACAATGGCCCCAGGTTACCCTTCAGGCCTAGAAATGGACTCACTTACATGGATTGGCTCTCAGCCTAACAGTAGAAAGACCTACATACAGAACATGTACCCCAAGTTGATGCACCAACCTACTGTAGGGAGATGGACTCCTTGGACCAAGCAGTCATGAGACACCAGAGAGGTGGCACTCACAGAGAGGGAAAGCTGGACAGAGAGGAAGGCATAGATAAGAAGGGTACAGGGAGTGGGTGGTCACAGAGAGGAGAGGGGAGGAGAGTTTTTTATGGTTGGGGATGGTAATTAGGCTATGAAATCAGATTAAGAAAGAAAGAAAGAAAAAGAAAAAAAAAAAAAAGGAAGAACTAGGCATCCGACGAGGAATGAAATATTCAGAGTCTGTTTGAGGTAACATCATTATAAACAGAACACAAGGCTTTCTAGTGTTCTAATAGAAGTATATAGACAAGGCATATGTACTCTAGGAGTACATAGGCAAAAGGTTAACACAAAGACTGCTAACCAAAAGGATGGTTATCACCCAGAAACACTTTCGGAGAAACGGTTCTGCAAATCAGCCATTGAAAACCCTCGGGAGCACAGTTCTACTCTGACACACATGGGGTCATTATGAATCAGAATTGACTCAGTGGCAACAGGTTGGGGGTTGGTATGTACTCTGATATGTAAGTACAGAGGGAAACATCCCTTCAGGGAACAGTGTGGCCACATTGTACATACAAGTGATGTCCCTAGAGTTATGTGAGCAGAAGCTCTGTTCGTGTTCTTTGGTAATGAAGGAGGGTTTTTACAGAGGATGTGATATTTGAAATTAGTCTTGGAAGATGAGATGGAAGAAGAAAATGGGCAAGGCAGAGAAGAATGTAGGAACTACTACATGTCAGCATAATGATGAGGTGGTCAGTGGCATGGGAGCACAGGGTGCATGGGGTTAATGGACTATAGATAGGTTATGAGGGTAGCGGGGCTCAGGTCCTGAGAAGACTAGTTTTACTTGCTAAGAACTTTGAATTGCATCCTATTTGTAGTGGGAAACCAGTAAAACAGAGATGGAATGAGAAAATCTGGGCTCTCATCCTTATTCTAGCTTTTATTATTTCTGACTTTGAGAATGTCACTGAGCCTCTCTGAACCTAAGTTTCCTTAAGTGTGAAATGAAACAATAATTGCCTCATGGAGGTAAGAATTAAGTGAGATAGAGTAGTGAAAGCACCATGCATTACAGAGTGCAATACAAATGTAAACACTTCATATTCTTTGGAGCTCTGGTGGCATCGTGCTAAGGCATTTGACTGCTAACCAGAAAACTGGCAGTTCAAACCCACCAGCCATTCCTCGGAAGGAAGATTGGGCAATCTACTTCCATAGTGATACTGCATTGGAAACCCTGGGTGGGGCTGCTATGAGTCAGATCCGACAGCAGTGAGTTTGGTTTGGTTTGAATTTGGTCATTATTCACATTAGTAAGTACCCAGGTCAGGTGTTGCCATGAATGTCATCTCACTTAATCCTGAAGGTCCACTGTGATAATTGTGGTCCCCATGTAGCAGAATTCAGACCAGGGAAGGATCTTTCAAGCAACTTAAACAGCATTCTTAAAGTTTTCTTACCTATTTCTACTTCTTTTGTGTCATTGGGTAGAGGGGCTGTAATGACTGGAACCAAAGGAAAGACTTTTGCTTCTTAAATTAAAGACACACAAGAAAAGGAAATATACATATTAGGAGAGCATTGGATAGTCATCAATATAAAGCTCATTCTATTTCATAGAAATATTTCTTAAATTTTTCTGATAATGACTCATAGTGACAAATACACACACAGACATACACATACAACATTTTTATAATACTTTCTCTTGCTACTTATTATGTTCTTTGATATTTTCTATTATATTCTATGCCATTAAAGCAAATGCTAGTCCAATCCACTAATTTAATTTTATGACCAACTACATTGTTAAGAAAACACAGTTCAGAATCAGCATAACACTACAGAGAAGATTTGAAAGGTTCTACAAAAATGGTAAGTTTACGAGTACACAGTTCTCCTGCTCACAGTTCTTTACAACAGTGGTTCATCCTTGATGGGAAAAGTTGTCTCTGCCTCTTAAGTAATTTTAACTCTTGTGGCCACTAAGGACCCGAGTAAAGGAGGACCTTTTGAAGCCCTGTAGCTTATATACTTACATCTCCTTATGCTCATTTAGTTCAGGCTGGTATAATTGAAAGCCACTATGGAAGCTGATATTAACCAGTGAGAGACACTGATAGAAATGTGGTCTGGTGATGTCTGTTTTGCAGGAGTGGAGCACTGAAAAGCCCGAAATAAAATCTTTTCTCCAATATGGCTTTATCGTAAGAAATCTGCCACACATACAAATGCCACTGGTCTATGTCTGTGTCTATAGACCAAGGTATACTAAGGTGATCCTAAAAATACATTATGTTTGTGAACTCATTTTCTTGAAAGGATCATTTTAGAACTTATGAATTGGAATTTTTATTGTTGTTTAAGAATTGAATGGCCTACTTGAGGTCACTGATGATGTTGGAAGCCCTGTAAACAACTGAATTCCATGTAAAGCTTCTCACTAAACCTCTAATCCAGGTACATTAGAAATTTATATAAACATACACACAGAGAGAACCTCTGACACTATATTATGGAAAACGGAACCTATTCTTGCTCTCTAAACTGTTTTACTGTTCTTCAAAACAAGTAAACTGAATTAGCATGGAAATTGCCTCACTTTTCAAACATTAAGTCCTAGAATGAAAAATAGATGTGGCTTTGGATTAGTAGCATAATCTTCCTCTCCTAGTAAACCTTGATCATGCATTTTAAAAAAAACTACTTGCGTCAGAGAAAAGAATGTGTAAGATAAGATGAGCAAGAGGACATATTAGGAAGTATGAAGTGGAGAAAAATTAACCAGAAGGGCAAAATTCTTCCCAGTTACCTTTTCCCAAATACTCCACTTTGTTAAACTAAGTAGCTTACCTCTAAATGTGAATGTCCTGGTTGCTGTTACAGTATAATTGACTCCGTTTTCATTGTGTATAAATTTGCATGTATAATCACCTGCATCATCACTATTTGCATTTTTAACGAGCAAATATGATTTGAATCTGTAGTACCTTGATCCTTGAAGAGCTTTACAATTCTGAAATGAAAAAGTCCATTCAATTTTCAGTAATTCTTTCCTTGCAAGCCTAATTGTGTAATTTTCATTTATTTCTCTAGAAGTTCTTTTTACCTTAAACCACTCAAGTGGCGCTGTCCAATTGTACAATTCAACTGTAGGGCAAGATATTTTGGAATATTTTTGTGTTCCAGATACTGTTGAATACATCAAATAATCAGGAGTGATGCAATCTGGTTGCTTTTTATATATTGTGAGATTCACAGATCTAGTCCAATTGAAGGTGAGACTATTAAAATAAGTCAGACAATTTTAAAAAGTCACTTAACATTATGAAACAACTTAATCAACTGTAGCCTTCAGTTAATTTTATTTTTCCTCTTAAAGTAATTATATATTGTGCTTATTTTCTTACTTAAAAATAATCATTAAAATCTAGAGTGCCAAATATTTGTTAGTTTGAGATAAAACCTAAACCTTATTGTATCACTAAAAGGCAATTCTCCGATCATTTATTTCTTCATGCTCTATGATGACTGCTGTAATACCACAAACAAAATATAATAAATATAACCAACGTTTATCTAGAGTTTACTATGTACCAATCATGGTGCTAAATACTTTTCATTTTTCATTTTTTTTTTTTCCTCACAACCACCCTTTGAGGTGGATTATATTTATTTTATAGATGAGGAAACAGAGGGTTTGTGAAAAGGACAAGGAGGCAGCATCTTCTGACCTCCGCTAACTCCACAAAAGAAGATAGAATCACCATCAGCAACACAAGGCCTGTTCTTATGAGAACAGACATGCCACCATCTTCCAGCCCTCTTACCATTCTTGACACCAACCATTCCTCAAGCAGCACCCACCACCACCTGTCTTCTGGGTTTGATAATTTGCTGCAGTGGCCACACAGAACTCACAGATTATGGGGTTTATTAGGGAAGCAACAGGCTACAATTCAAATTCAGGAACATGCTCAGTCTCTCTCAGCTGGCCAACTCTCTCAGCCAGCTGCCTCTCAGCCGGTCATCTCTCTTCAGCAGCCCTTCTCTCTCTCACTCTCAGTAGCACATCTCTCTCTCAGCAGTGAGTGTTTCTCACATTTCTCTCAGCAGTGCATCTCTCTGATGTCTCTCTCTCAGAAGCACATATTTTTCAGCAGTGCATTTCTCTCAGGTGACAGTCAGAGGGATCCCTCTGGCTCTAAGAGAGCTCATTTTGACCCTGACAGAGCAGCAAAACCAACCAATCCCAACATCAGAATTCTACACACCTGAGAGAGAGTGAACTTCCCAGAAGATTGCTTTATGCAACTCCAACAGAGATACACCAGGTGGATAAAACTTTAACAATCAAGTACTCACTCACTCACAGCAAAGTGGGAGTTACAAAGACTATGGCTAGAAAAGCCATACCATGTAATTTATTACACTGCAGGGGTAAAAGAATAACTTGCCAGCATCACACAGCTAGCTAATGTTAGAATATGAGTTTGAAATCTAAACTTGTCTAACCTCAGAATGTGGGAATTAACTACAATACTGCCTTTCAATGTAGTTCATTTGACATTTTGTATGTACCAAATATGGTCACAAAATTAAAACATTTTGTATAGGTGCAACATCAAATATTTAGCAATTTATACAGAGAGTAGGCACACAATCTCATATAGCTCTCTTTAGCTTAACTTTAAGGTTTAAGGAATTGATAATTGCTTTTTTTTTTCTTTTTTCCCCACCAACCATAAGCCTCATGCCAAACATCTAGGTTATGATTTTGTGTGCTAGTTTGTTCTTAGTTCTAGCCAAAAGTGCATAACTGCTTTTAGTTCTCATGGTCACTAAGAAATCCAAGTCTTTTTTTTTTTTTTGTGTGTGATTATGGTACAAATTAATCCCTGCAATTATAAATGGAAAGAGTTAGCTCTTGCTGGTATTTCCAAATATATTCTTTTATTCAAATAACCCTGTAAATTCAATTGTTCCAGAAAGAACTTGGAAAAGGTAGGAAAGCAAGGGACAGTACAGATTAACAACTTTTAAAGAAAAGGGAGCCAGCCCTAAGATTATGGTAGCTGCTTGTATAATACCTTTTGATAATACAAATATAAATTCCAGAATCATCAACTTTTGCTGGTAGAAACTTAAGAAGGTTTCCTAAGGCAAATACACGATATTCCTTCCTGGTGGTAATACTGTCATTTGTTTTTGAGTAATACCAATCCACAGGGTACGTAGAGTTTGGGTTTTTAGGACATGGCACAAACAAGGCTTCATTTTCCAGACCCCAGTATGTTTTACCTACAAATAAAAAATGTAAAAAGATCATAATTCTTATATTCTAAAATTCAGTTTAGAAATTGTTCGTACTTAGTGAGTCTTCACCTGGGAAAGAATAAATGAATAACTAACATATTTAATGAAATGTTCTATTAGGTACCATCACAGTTAATGAATTAATTTGGACCTAAGTTTCCTATACAGTTTCAGTGGCAAAGTAGCCACACCTCTCTAACCAAATTAAATGGCTACAATCTTCCTAAGCTCACGTACAGTGTTAAATTCTGAAACATTTGAATATATAAAATTAAAATTCATATATATTTGTTGTGAAGAATGAGTAGATCAAAATTGAATTTTCTGGTTTACAATTTGGCTGCAAGCATTGGAAACAAGCAGCTTCAAACAAATCGTACGTTCTTGAAATTATTTTAAAAAATTAAATTTTAGTTGAAAAGCAGTACTTACTAAGTTGAGTTGTTACTGAATCTAGGAGAACTGTTAGAATTGCCAAGACCCAAAGTCCCATTGTCTGTATATCACACACGTATATGTGTTGGCAATACTCCAGATGAATCAGTGTGGTCTGATAGTACAGATCTCTTCTAGGAGACAGATGAAGAACCCTAAGATTCATAGCAGGAAAGAGCAGTTAGTAGGTAGTCTATGAAAAGTTAAATCATACAAAACCACAAGTGAAACATTTAGAAGTCATGATTTTTACATGTTCAACACCTCCCAGGAGAATTAATCAGCCAACAAGTATCTACTAAGTACAACTACATTTAATAGCTGGATTCAGATGTGTGTAGCATGGCACTGATTCCTAGAGAATATTTTGTCCATGCAGGTCTCACAATGGTCATGCACTTTCACAATTACATTTCACAACTATCATGAGAAAGTACCAGAAAGCTAAATTAAGAGGTAAGAAAATGAGTTGTTATTTTTGAAAAACAAAACAAACAAACATAAAATTCATCAAGCCCTGGGAAATACAATCTAGTTGTTAATATAAAACAACAGATATTCACACAGGCTGACCACTGCCTGCATGCACACAGGATATACACACAAACATGCAACTAGTTCATCACAAAGCAACTGCAGAATAAAAAGCAATGGGAAGTAAAGCACTGTTCAAGAAATCACTCTGGACTGTAATCTGACACCACCCCAGCCTGTCCCTAAGAGTCATGAAGGCTTTCTAAGAATAGTTGAAAGTCTATGAGAAATAGCTAAATATTTTTCTTTACTCATTTCCATGTCAATAACAATTTAACCATATCTTTTTTTTTTTCCTTAAAAGTCAGGATGTTGTTGTTGTTGTTATGTGCCGTCGAGTCGGCCCCGACTCATAGCGACCCCTCCTTGGGTTTCCGAGGCAGTATCACTATGGAAGTAGATTGCCCCATCTTCCTTCCGAGGAGTGGCTGGTGGGTTTGAACCGCCAGCCTTCTGGTTAGCAGTCAAGTGCCTTAGCCACTATGCTACCAGAGCTCCCAAAAGTCAGGATAGGAGTGGAAAAAAGATAGAAATATTACAAATACAAGAATAGACACAATAATGCACAATGTATTTCAAGAAAGTTCATTTCCTCTAAATGTGAATTGTTAATGCTTTTCTTATTGCATTTACAGGAAAATTTCTATCACAGACTTAGATAGTTGATGCTTACCGAAACTAAGGGACAGAAGAAAATGAACTCCACATCGACAACTGAGTTAAGAATACTTCCAGCTCTTTTAGGTCCCTCCTTGTAGACTGCTCACATGGACACAATCTCTCTTTTATTTTAAAGAAGAAACACCCAAAGACACCCCCGGAATTTGTCATTCCACTCACCCTTAATTGTACTTTCTAGCTAAAAGTCATGACTTAAAAAAATACTGGTGAGTCAGACAACTAGATTACTTAGTCGTGATTTGTAAAAAATTAAACATGATGATAACAGTGAATTACCTCTTTAGAGGAAGTTATCAAATAATCATTCCCTGATTGAGCACCATGTTCCAAAGTGGAAAATAATCCTTTTTTTAATCACCCCGATATTATTACATTTTTGGTTCGAAAAATGTTCTTGAAACCACAGGGCCTTGAGATTGCCCTTCTAGATATTCCTTGACACCTACTTTGATGGATGGTAATTTGAAAGCCTTAGCCAGTTTTGGAAGATTTGTTGGGGAGAGTTAACAAAAGCCAAGAGGGAGAGCAAACAATGAGAAGCAAGCAGGACATCATACGAGATTGAGAATGCTGTTTACGGTCCAGAATTTGACAAAGTTTCATCCAAACATGAGTTCCAACATCTCAGAATTAAATCCCCATCGAGCTCTCAATTTGAAGGAAAAAGGATCTTTTCCTAAGGAACTGAGAAAAATAGAAGGAAGGTATAGGTATCTGAAAAGGAGTGGTAGAGAAAACAATAACCTTTAGCTCTTGGGCTAAATGTCAATTTAGCAATTGAGTAAATGCAGCTTGCTTTTAAAAGTCACCACATTCCAGAAGAAATCAAGGACTAACTTCAGATCAGCACAAAATATTATAATAGCTATCAAAGGAACCCTGGTGCTGAAACAGTGAAGCACTGACTTGGTTGCTAACCAAAAGGTTGGTGATTTGAATCTGCCCAGCAGTTCCTTGGGAGAAAGGTCTGGTGATCTGATTCCTTAAAGATTACAGCCCAGAAAATCCTATGAAGCAGTTCTAGTCTGACGCATGGGGTTGCTATGAGTCAGAATGAACTCCAGGGCCTAGGAAAACCACTATGACAACAGCCTTTATACAGAACTCACTATGTGCCAGGCACAGTTCCAAGTGACTAACACATGCATTAATTCCTTTAATTCTTGTAACTACTCAAGGAGGCAGGCACTATTATTATTATTCCCATTTTCAGATAAGGACACTGAGACACAATCTGCCCAACTCACAGATGAAGAGGTAGCAACAGAATTTGAAGCCAAGCAGGTTGACACCGAAACCTGAATGTCGAATCTGTAAACTTTACTACCTCCAGATGTGGAAGGTTAAGAAAGGAGTCACTGGAAAAAAAAATATTCTAAGTAGATTATTTTGCGTCAGTTTCCCATAGCATCTAGTGGTGCTGTGGTTAAAGCATTTGGCTGCGCACAACCAAAAGATTGATGGTTCAAATGCACCAGCTGCTCTGCAGGAGGAAGATGAGACAGTGTGCTTTGACAATGATTTATAGCCTTGGAAACCCTATGGGACAGTCCTACTCTGTCCTATCGGGTCACTATGAGTGGGTTTGGGATGGCTGGGATCACTCAGCAGGCGTCTCCATCTGCATGTGGATTTAGCAGTCTTCAGACATCAGTGAAAGGCTCAGAGAGGAAAAGATACAAAGTTCTTGCATTGCTGGAAGATTCATCCATGAGATAGTTGGTATAAATTCAAAGAATTACATCTGCTAATTGCTAATATCAATGTACTTGTCAAAGCTCTTATTATCGAGATCATATTATCTTCTTATATACACAATAAATATAAAAGTTGATATCATCAGCTTCATCACTGAAAGCACAGTCAGGAGACAGTACTTGGAACAGTGCCTGGGAGCGTGGTTCAGTGCTAGATAAAAACAAAAAAAAAAGCGATTGCTGTTGAGCTGATTCCAACTCATGGCAATACCATGTGCATTAGAGTAGAATTATGCTACGTTAGATTTTTGATGTTGGATTTTTTGGAAATAGATTACCAAGGCTTTCTTCTGAAGTGCCTTTGGTTAGCAGCCAAGCTTGTTAACTATTTGTACCACCCAGGGAGCCCAACCATTAGATAAAGATTTGTTAAATAAAATGATGCAAACTTGAAATTATTTTACATTCTCTATCCTAAAACATCTTTTAAAAATTTTTGTTTATTAGATTGGGGAATTTATTTTTTAAATTGGACCAACATTTACATTGGTTTGTTGGTTTTAAAAAATAAGATTTGACTAAGAATTTTAACTTAATCATTAGGAAATTTTGCTGATCTATTTAACAAAGTCTAATGTTATAAAATAATTCATTCATTCATTCAAAAATTAAATTATTTTCATTCACTGCACAATATTTTATAGCACTTATCATCAACATCATTCAAGTTTTATATTTTAAAATAAAAATCCAAGAATCAAGACTGTTTAAGTTATTTGATCAACCTCACCAATTGTAGCCAGGGCTGAAACTAGACTTGTTGAACCCCAAAGCCATAACTTTCTTTTTTCTAACATCAACTGAGAAAAGGGAGAAATTATAGTGGTAAAGCAAGCTTTTGTTCCTGAATTATCACACAACATAGGATAGTCTAATTTCCTTAAAATCTCTTCTTTATAAAAACTACATCATTTCTAGGTCTTTTCTCATTTCATATTTGTCACTTTTCATTTCTAATTAATCCAATACCATCCAATACAGCAGTGTGGTACTTTATACCAGCATAGCTAGGCAAATTCTAAAAGCAAGAGCTTCTCATAAGTAAATAGAATATTACCCTTAACAGAATGTTGAGCAGCATAAATTTCTCTCAAATTAATCAGAAGTCTTCCAACTTGTGAAACTTTCACAGACACTATAAAAATGGCATGGTCCTGGTGTTGAATCTTCTCATCTAACTTTGCATGGTGGGAGGAGAATCATTATCAGCTTCAACTGCCCAAGGCAGTTCTTATGAGGTAGAGGTCAGACATATCTCCACTCTCCAACATTTTTAACATTTCTTAACTCCACTGTCCCTCCCACAGCACTCTCTATTTCTCTGCTGAGTTTGATAATCTGTTGCAATGACCACATAGAATTCATAGATGATTCTCATGATTATAGGATTTATTAAGGGAGTAACAAGTTACAACTCAGTATCAGGAACAATTCAGGATATAGTTCTTCAGTCAGGAAGGCTTCTTGGCCAGGCCCACAGGCAGGCCTCTCTCAGGTCTTGGGACCCGTGGGCCTCTTTGGCCGACCTGACCACAAGCACCTTATTTACATAGTTCCAGCCAGTCATTTTGTGCAAGTTATAAGACCATAATGAGAAAGTCATATAAAAGTGATGCTTGCACCAAAGACACCCTCTTTTTAAGACTTTTTATAACTATTGTGAGTTGTAAAAATTGACCAAATAGAATCCAACCTAATTTGGTCATATTATTTTCTAATTTCTAGGTACAATTTTGAAATTCTTCCTGTCCCTGTTTATAACCTGCTATCTGATGTTTCCACTAAAAATAACTTTTATTGCACTCTGGCAATTACTCTTACCATGTAGATATTTGTGCTTTTAATGTGACACTTGACTATTTCCTAACTTAGGAAAGAAGTTCCTAATTTAAAAGATATTGTGCAAGGCTTATTTATTTGTCTTGATTGTGTTATGGATAAGAGAAAGATAAATGGCTTTTAGCACATTCCAGAACATGCCGTTATAGCCTAGTTGTAGTTTAAAGCCATGTCAAAAGCCAGGACATTTTTTAATTTAATTGGGGTCATATTCTCCCTCAGCAATTCTTGTAAGAATAACCAGCAG